CACTACATCCATGGCTGGCATGGGCTATTTTCCAAGAGCAAGATGTTGCAGCAAAACATGTTGGAGGGAGAAGGGAGGTTTTTCTGGAGTAACTCTGATGGAGARCACTAGGGCTCTCCATTTGTGCACCTGAGTAGAGGATGATCATTGTACCAAAGGAAAGTGGGTGAGGTGGAGTCAATGAGATGAGAATTGCAAAGCCAATACTAATGGAGATGACAAGGCATAACGTTAGAGATGATGGTGACCTAAGATGATGGTGAGCAAAGAATGACAGTCATGGGAAGGAGCAAATAAAAGACCTAAAACCTGAGATTTTTTCCTTTTTAGACTGCATTTCATAATCTCTTTCTTCATGTTTTTGGCTAGCATCATGTCACCTTGAGCTTCTTACACTGTTGTTTCCCATCCRCTGTTTTAAGGGCTGCTAGTGTGGCTTGTGGTCCTTAATTTGGTTTCCAGCAGATATACATTTCTTCAGACTGACAGAAAAATCAGAGTATGACAGTACACATTACTTGCTTAATGCTGCTGATTGCGGGCCAGTCAGTGTGCTGCTGTTAGCTGTGTGGCTGCGGAGTCTGTCTGAAGTGTTAATTAGCAGCAATTAATGAGAAGAGAAAAATTAATACTCTATGTCAGCTTTCTGTGCTGCTTAGTTATATCAACACTAAGACTCAGAGCTATACTGACGCTGATGTTTGCATAAGAGTTTGGTCTGGCTTTCACATTATGTAAGGAAGCTGCTTAAATGTTCTCCTAATATATGCGCCAAACTGGAGTTATTTCCCAATTTGGGAGACAAATTGTAGCCGCTAACTGATGTAGTTTCCTTAAGATGTGGGTGCTCTCAGTGTGACATTCCAGAAATGAGGCATTCTCACAAGTGACTTCAGGAAAAACAAAACAAACAAAAAAAAAGAACCCCAACCCCTCCCAAATAATAAAACTTGAAAAAGCATTAAATTCTGATTAAAATCTTGTAATTCTAATTGTTGCTGTTGATGACACTGTTGACTTGGCGTGTAAGAAATTTGGCATCTTCTGTAGCTAGAAGCTCAAGCTCAACCCTAATTRCTGCTGGGAACTGATTTTTACTGCCTTTTGTTCCTGGAGTGGACACAAGCACCTTGGGCGTGTTCCTTCTTGTTTTTCCATAGTTTCTAGGATCTGGTGTGATCCTAGGACACGGTGCCATGTGTTCACTGAGGCACAAGCCCCTTCTCCTGGGTCTGGTGGCAGATTTGGAGCATTTCTGTGTGGGCAGCTACCTGCTTTGTACTTGTGTAAATATTGTGACTGCCTGAATGGACTCCTCCATCTTTTTATCGGTTCATAATTTTCTCCTAATAGGAGCATTATGAGGTTTAACTATGCAACCAGGCAGCTTATCTTTCTTCTTGGTGTTTGTATTGTTGCCCCTGAGTTCCACTTGACATGATTGATTTGGTGAATTTCAGCTATCTCTCTTTCTGTCTCTTTTCATATACCCCTTCTGCCACTGTCTGGTCCTAGGCAAAAATAAAAATAGCTGAATCCACCCCAAATTTAGCTTCAGTTAACACCTCTTCTCCTTTCTCCTCTAACAAGCTTGATATAAAATCCTGGTGCTTAACCAATCCATTATTAATGATATTTACAGAAGTATTCTCTACTGTAGGATAAGTGTTTTTTGACTTTCAGTAGACCGATTGCTTCTAGTTTCATAGTTAATTGAAAGTTAATATACATTGGGGATGAGTGATATATATGTTMAGAGGTTAGCTGCACTCAAAATACTCATACTATACAATACACTTAATTCATTAGCAAGTCTCCTGTCAACAAAGAATAGAGATGAAGAGCTATAGTTGCCATCACAGTGGGGAATTGATCATTATTATTTATGGAGTGCTCAGAGTGTACTAAGCACTTTGTAAAGAGCCCAACAAACATATTGCAAACACAGGTTTAGAGTCTCTCGKTATTTGTTTTTTCAGATGTTTTTCCTTCTGTTGTTAGGTTCCCTTAAGATGAATAGAAATTGCTGATGGGGGGGGTCTAACTTTGACCCAGGAGCCATCAGTTGAGGGTTGTGTCATCCTCCTTGGCAGCTTGCTTCTATCAGCAGTGCGTTGTGAGGTACCTACAGTTTTAGCGTGGATTAATTGTGATGTCTGCAATGTTACTGTAATAGCTCCAGCAGACAATGCYGCTATGCTTCAGTTAACAAACATCATTGTTAGACTTTTCATGCTCCTTGTTTCTTTGGTCCTTGCTGTGCTTTAACTGCTCACGCATGTCCGTTTTTCTTGCATTTTTCATTCRAAGGGTCTTAAAAACTGGGAACGAGAAACCTACGACGAAGCACTCTCCCTCTTTCTATTTATAACCGCCATATCTTGCTTTAYTGAATATGCTTTCTGAGTAGTAAAAGTTGGAAAAAAATCCCATAATATTTTTACAGTCTTACTACCTCTCATTTGGCCTGGCTTCTCTCAAGAAATATTTTTTTCTTATTTTTACAGAATACAGAATATTTAAGGTTGGAAGGGACCTCTAGAGATCATCTAGTCCAACCTTCCTGCTCAAGCAGGCACACCTAGAGCATGTGGCACAGGGTGGCATCCAGGCGGGTTTTGAAGACCTCCAGAGTAGGAGACTCCACAGCCTCCCTGGGCAGCCTGTTCCACTGCTCTGTTACCCTAACAGTAAAGAAGTTGCTCCTCACCTGGAGACGGAACTTCTTGTGTTTCAGCTTGTGGCCATTACCCCTCGTCCTATCGCTGGCCACCAGTGAGAACAGCCTGTCCCCTTCCTCCCTGCATTCTCCCTTCCTGAACTTATACATATTAATCATATCCCCTCTGAGCCGTCTCTTCTCCAGAGAAAACAGGCCCAGCTCACTCAGCCTCTCTTCRTACGAGAGATGTTCCATTCGTTAATCATCCTGGTTGCCCTTCTCTGGACCCTCTCCAGAAGCTCCACGTCCCTCCTATACTGGGGTGCCCRGAACTGCACACAGTACTCCAGGTGCGGCCTCACCAGAGCTGAGTAGAGGGGCAGAATCACCTCCCTTGACCTGCTGGCAACGCTCCTCCTGATGCAGCCAGGATCCCATTGGCCTTCTTGGCCACGAGGGCACTGCTCACTCATGGTTACCTTAGTGTCAACCAGGACTCCCAGGTCCCTCTCCGTGGAGGTGCTTTGCAGCAGGTCCACCCCTAATCTGTACTGATGCCTGGGGTTATTCCTCCCCAGGTGCAGGACCCTGCACTTGTCCTTATTGAACCTCATGAGGTTCCTCTCTGCCCAACTCTCCAGCCTGTCCAGGTCCCTCTGGATGGCAGCACAGCCCTCCRGAGTGTCGGCCAATCCACCCAGCTTGGTGTCATCCGCAMACTTGCTCAGGGTGCATTCCGTGCCCTCGTCCAGGTCATTGATAAACAAGTTGAACAGCACTGGGCCCAGTACTGACCCCTGGGGGACACCACTGGCCACAGGCCTCCAACTGGACTCGGCCCCATTTATGACCACCCTAGCCATGCTTCTTGCAGAGCATTTGGTGTCGGCACTGCCAGTGTAGTTAGTCCTTTAGGTCATGCTAGGCTTGCAGGGATCCACTGATTAACGGGACCTGGGTGTGTCCTCTACATCCAATATTCTGCACACGCATCTTCCCCAATGTCAGTCTTTGCTTTCGCACATCTTGTGCAAGTAGCTGRTTCCCTCTGTGCCCATAACCCAAACTCTTGGTTTCTCTTTCTCTGCCTGCATTTGATACCTCGTAATTCACTGCCTGCTCAGCGAGTTTTGCAGAAAAGCTCACTTTGGAGTTCTTTCTTTAACRGTTCCTAAAGTGCATCTCTGGGTATTGTTCGTCTGCTGGATTACTTTTTGTAGAAATATATTCCTCATTTAGTCTGGCATCCGATTCCAGACCTGCTCAGTAGATATTCCCTTTCTTGTTTGATTTTTCATCTTTGTATGTTTTCATTCCACAGTATTTTTTTCTGTGCTCATGGTTTCTAGAAGAATCTCCCCTGCCAGTATAGCCCAATATATGCATGAGTTAATATTTCTATTTCATAAAGGTATTTTGCATGCTGAACTTTATTTTCTAGGGTTTTTGCAATATTTCCAAGTGTTCTCCATTCAGTGCTCCCTCTGCTACTTAATCACCAGTCTCCTTCAGAAATTCCATTATGGCAACTGAACTGCATATTCTCATGCACTATTAGCCATCAAAAAGTTTGATGCCAGAAGCGAAGCTTATTGTAGGATGGTTGAGTTGCCCTGTCTTGGTTTTCTCTGTTGGCATGGGTTATGCCTTATGGGTTTGTCATTGAATATTGCTGATGATATTATCTCAGCATCTTTTCTGTTGTTGTTGCTATTGCTGTTAAAATATTACAGCTGCTACTACTTTCTGGTTTTATTCCYGTGACTTGTGAAGCCTCTGTCCTTGGGTTTATGGTGGTCTGTCGCCTGCTCTTGGTACCCAATCTGTTTGAAACAAAACTAGCAAGGAGCACATCTTTCATTGTTCTGTGTACTGATTTGGTGCCCTCAGTGGGAAACTGGCCGAAGACAGTGGGTGGCAATTAGCTTAAAAGAAACTGTCTCTCAAACTTGCCATTAACTATCTTGTTTTTCCATGGTATTGGTCTTAGGTAGTCAGATGGATGAGATACAAAAGTTGGGGATGAAATACAAGATACAGTGCTAAGAGCCTGAAATCTAGTTGCTAACTTTTCCTTGGTTGCTGCAAGTTTTTGAATAGGCCTCCAAGAAAGGAAGAGGTCCTCTGTCATGGATCCTCATCCAGCTGCACCTCGCCTCAGAGGAGGAAGGGTTGGTGAAGGTTTTGAGTTGTTCCATGCTGAAGAAGGAGTAGGACCAAAGGGCTATGATTGTTAAAATCAAAATGCAGGAGAACTTGAAGCCTGTTAGGAATGGCTGAGGGAATGGGTTAGTTTGGGTGGAAGAGCTCACTCTGTTTTCCTTTTCCATTTAGCTTGTCCTCTAGGAGGTCCCTGCTGCAGGATGAATTAGGAGGGGAAGGACTCATACTTTGAACGATGGAGACAAGGGCGTCTTTCATCGCCAGCATGCAGGAGACCCAGCATCTCTCCCCGGAGAAGGGCCAGAGCCCGGCCAACGGCAACAGGGAGCAGTCTGATTCAGGTGGGTTCTCCTCTATGCTCGTGGTCACCTCAGGGATTACAGCTCTGTGACTTTCCTGAGTCATATGGACTAGTCTGTGTCCTGCATCATGTGGGTTCTTGGTTGCTGGATCAGAAAATCAGAGCTTTTCTTTTTCTGGATATTTTTTTCAAGAAATATTACCTGCTAAATATTAAAAAACAATGGGAAATCTTTCCCAAGAAATCATAATGTGTTCTATTCTTTCCTTACCATCACCACTTTATTTTCTTTTATTTTCTTTTTTTCTTCCTTTTGACTTTTGTGATTAAAAAGAAGAAATGAGTATTCAAAAATTACAATATTTCCCCTCCATTTTGATCCTTCATCATAATTTCCGCTAGATTTTTTTTTGCTCCTCTTGGATGTTTCGGATGAGGAGACTTCAGATGTTTGCCCAGCCAGGAAAGCTGGTTGTCTGTGTGCTTCTAAGTATAAGTGAACACTGCAAAGCCCTGAGGTGGAGACCTGAAGGCTTAAGTTGGTTAAGTTTGGGCATCTTCATAGTAAATGTGGAGGAGTTGCCCAAGCTTGCTTTTGGGGTCAATGGAGAGAAATAGACCATGAGGTTCCTCTCATCCTAATACTCAGTTCCAAAATGGAACAGGCAAAACTCAGTGTGAAGGTAACAGTTTCTCTTCACTCACTGACCTGTGAGCAGTTGTCTTGGATGCAAACAATCRTTTTTTACTTATCTAATGCAAAATGTATGAATCCTGTCCCATGACATTCCTTCTTTGGCATAGCATTTGCGTTTGGGCCTATTGGGATTTTCCTGAAAAGTTTGGGGTAGGGTTGGCCATTGCTTGTGTTATCTCTTTACAGTGTCAATAACAGGCTGTTGGTGTGCTGCTTATATATATATAGGAACAAGGCATATCTGTTTGTTTTGCTTCTCATTATTTTTTTRAGTGGTGTAATACTGGCACGTAAGATGCCTGGTTTGGATACCCTGTCCTTACGTTTAACCTATGGCATGGACTGAGTGACAGTTTTCTGTTCTGTGTATTTTCTTCTTTTTGATAGGCTTCTTTGCATACAAGTTCGATGAATAAAGATATGGAAGTCCTTAGGCATGTAGATGCCTAAACTTCAAATCTGTGCTCAACTTTCATAGAAACTAAAAGGATTTAAGTACATAAATCCTTTTTGCGTCCTGAGTGCTAGTGATTTCTTCTGAAATTAGGGTCCTGTGAGCTCAGCTGATGCTCTTAGGAGCTGATGCTTGTTAGGAGAGCAAGATAGAGCAATTTTTACTGAGCCATTACTCTGCAAAAAGTTTAATCTTTGCACAGAAATGCTTGACTTGGGGTTTGGATGCCTGAACTTTCCTTTCTTCTAGAAATCTTCTGATTTCCGTAAAAGGGATTCTTAACGAAAAGATTCTGAGTTATAGATGGCAGATTAAAATTCTTTGCTCCTGTCCTGGAGAGCAGTGGAGACTTGTGCAAGCTTGGGAACCTGAACATTTTTCAGAGGTGACCTCGATGTTAGCATTTTTCTTCTGAGAACATCTGTTGGAGGAACCACCTACATGCAATTTATAAAAAGCATTCAGAACTGCCTAAAGTCCACATCCATGAAAATTGGTGCCCTTGTTATTGTCAAATGCTATTAAATGCTCTTCAGATGTGATGGTGGCAATGTTGCAAAGTCTCTGTCTCCTTTAAAACTCTTCTTCTTTTGTCTTAAGAGTCTTTTCATCTTTTCTCMTGGATGGGGCTTTTTGTGCTTTACTATTCATTGGTATGAAATCCTTTGCTGTCTGTGTGTTCTGTTCCGTGCTGCTCCTTGCTCAAAGCCCCCAGGATTTTGGCTGCTCACCTTTCAATTTCTTCATTTCTTGTAGACATTTAGGGACTCAGTGATTTTTCCATTTTCTTGGGCAATGGGGATCTTCCTAATTAGAAAGATATGAAAAGTGTTTGGCTCTCTGCCATGTTCCCTAATGAGTTGGGGAGGAAGAAGGGAAAGAAGGGCAGGGAAAAAAAAAAAAAAAAAGGCAGTTTGAGACCATATCATAACTGGACTTCAAGTTCTGGTCTGCACAGTGACCTTGCGTGTAAGCTCTTTAGGGTGAGAATGGACTATTTTGCACTGCCCTTTGAGCAGTGGAAGTGATGTGAACTGCCTTATGTTGCTTTGGATAAGAATGTAAATATTGCTGTTAATTCCCTGTTGTGAAGGAGAAAGAGGCCCCTTCCAAAGAGTGACTAATAGGGATGGCAAACAAGGATCATTTTAAGTTAAAAATCTGAATTTGGAACTGTGATATCTTAAAATACCTTAAAAACAAGCAAACAAAAGCAAGTTATCTGATGCTGCTTGGATTGCCAGGGAAAAGAGATGCACTTTCAAAGAGAATCTCCTTTTCTTAACAAGGGCACCATGTTGCCTCTGCATTGAATTGTCTTCTAGAATTGCCTGCTTCTCCCCAAATTAAGCTGAAATTAAGCTAAGCCTGGTTGGAGCACAGGGGAGCATCTAAGTCCTGGCTGCCTTCAAGGGGCCACCCTCTCTTATGAGATGAGTTTCATATCCTCTAGTTCTGATGTGTTCAAGTAGACCCAAGTTTCTGCTGGATCCATTTATATTTATGGGATTGATAGTACTAGATTTGTTTGCTGACAGCTGGCATCCATTCTGCACCAAGAGGACCTAGCCTGTGGTGCCTGTGTTTCTCTGAGAGGCTGGACCTTGGTGACTCTCCCAAGACCATGCAGGAGGTTTGTGCTTGATCAGGGTTCCCCCCAAGTCCTTGCTTAGTGTTTTAACCACCATCRTCTTTCAGTTTTCCCTTCACTGACAAAGTCTTGAATTCCTCTAACGACTTTAGGTAAGTAGAGTCAAATGGCTTAGCAACTTGCCACAAATGCTGCAGTTCTGGAAGACATTTTCCTTCAGGCAAGCCTGGGAGAAATCTGTGTATTTGGAGCAACACAGATCTTTTATCCGCCTTATTTCCTGTAGTTGCCCATCCTGAGAGGCTAATGACAGCTGGAATGGTTGCATTTTTATAGAGCTAATGCATGGAGGATTGCAGAGCAATTTAAAGCCATTGAGAGGCTCACAGGTAATGACTTGTTGATTTTTATTTGCCAGCCTAGGCCTGTTTATACAACACCATATTGTAGGCCAGCCAGGCTTGACTGTTTCATTAAAAAAGAGCATTGGGCCTAAGCACCAATAATTGGAAAAGGAACTGATATGTAAAATAAGCCTAACGCCAGATTTGTCATCTCACARGGAGCTCTGCAAAATGCTGGCACCTGAGATTTTGCACCTCCACAGTAAAGCTAGGACTTGGTTTTYGGAGCGCATGGCATGAGACTTGGTGAACGGATTGACTTTGTGATCACCGTACATAATACTCATCAATTGGGTACAATAATCATCATTGTATGTTAGAGACTTTGCATTTAGATACCTGCCYCTTAATCTGGGCATCTTATTCTGGGCATCTTGGGAGACATCAGCAAGGAGATGGATATTTTTTGATGGATTAAGGGATTTATGCATGTTCCATATGCATGTTCCAGGATTTATTCCTGTTCCATGAACTGATAGAATTGAGAGTATGTCATTTGATCTAAATGTTGGGATAGAATTGAGAGTATGTCATTTGATCTAAATGTTGGGCTGATCCCTGGGTCGCACTGTCTCTGCTCTGGATGGCCCCACTGTAATATTTTTAGAAAGGAAGAGAATGCTTAAAAATGATTTGGGAAGCTTCGAGTCCCTTCCCAATCCTATGGTGTAAAATGAAACAAAATAGAACACTGATACCATGATAAATGAACTCCCTGACATTATTTTTATGGACCTTGTAAAAGTAATKTCCTGATAAAGTCTGCAGATAAAACACAGTAGAAGAGTAAGACTTGTGATGTGTCAGGCAGAAATGGAYTGACAGTGAGCAAAGCCTGCATCTCCTTTGGGGTCTTGGAGCCTCATTATTTGGCTTTAGAAAGGAGAGGACTGTGGCATTTTAAAAAGCAAATGTTGTTCATGAGTTTTTCTGGATTGGATGTGAAGGTGCTGTATGTGAGTGGACGTGCCAGAAATGGCCAGTTGTCCCCCAGGACAGATGGGGCATGTCTTGGGTTCAGCATCTTATCTCTGCTCTTCCCTCTTCATTTTCTTTCACATCCCAGCAGGAAGCAGCAGGGCCAGTGACTCTGGTGGAATGGCACGTGGTGGTGTGGGTCATGATCTCACATCTAGTCTGCTAGCACTGCATCAAAATGGGCAATGAGAAGGGTAGGAAGCCTTCTTGTATTCATAAYTAACATTTGTAGTGCTGACCTAACTAACTTTGTTGGTAAAATCTGCAGAAAACATTGTCAGCTTTACATTACATTACGAGGGCTAGAGGTTATGTACTTATTATTTTAAAATCCCTTGGATAGACTTATGGGAAGGACTTATTTTCACAGAACGCTAGAAGAAAGAGAGATACTGTCTAGGCTCACCAAAATAGGTTAGAGCAAAAGGCAGGAATGAAAAATGAGAATATATTAGGACCGTMAAGTTCTGACGGGAAACTTCTAGTGCCCCGAAATGGAGCAGCTGAGGAGAGAAGATAGAGCCCAGAGCTCTATGGAGATGTCCTGTCCTAGTCAGATGTCCTGAGTTTGAGGTGTCTTTGAATTTTGAGAGCCACTTTCACACCATAGAGTAGATGGGTGTAGCAGTAAGAAGAAAGTAGGCAGAAGGGAACAATAAGCAAGAACAACCTCCAAAAACCTGCGTTTTTGCAGACTCTGGCTCACCATGAGGGCACGTTCTCCTGATAGCACACTGGAGGCATTTGCAGTTTTGTCTCTTTGTCTTTTCTTTTTCATGTCAAATGTTGCCTCTTTTCCACAGGAATATAGTCAAGTTGCTTAAATCCTTAGAATCTTTTCAGCAGAGACTAGTCCTTAACTTCCTTAGTCCTTAGCTTCCTGGACTTCAGGGACGTTTGGTTACTGACTTCTAACGGGACTAGGATTGGTCCAGCTTGGAGTAGAAAGATACTTATACACAGAAGAGATTTTAATTTTGGGTAAGTGCCTCCTCCCTACCTCTGCCCTTCCACCGTGGGCTACTGTGCTTTATTTTGGAGGTTAAGCTCTTGAAACCTGTAGATCTGATGCTTCTCTAAAACATAAMCTCCTCCGAGTTATAGGTTGTTAAGACTGAAGGATTGCCCCACTCATCCAAAGTTGTCTGCTCGATACAGGTGAGGAAACTCTTAGTAATTTTTGCAGCAAGCCTTGTGACTAATGCAGTCTTGTCTTTCATTGRAAAAATGAGGAAATCTCTCCTACTGGTTTGATTCTTTCAAATGACCCAGCTTCTGTCATGCCTGGAAGTTGCTATAATGATTGCAAGAAATAAAAGACAAACCTGTCATTTACTTTGATGTTGATTTTTACCTCTTTTCAGATTGTAATCATGGGCCTGTATTGATACTTCTCCTACTGAGCAGGAGAGTTTTAAGAGTACCCAGCTTGTCACTGGAGTAAATGCTGATCTATGGCATCATATTTAAGAAGGTTGATTGAGTTTATGGCAAAGAATTAGACCTTGGTCTTGACACAGCAGTGTGAAAAGTGTTTAACAGTGGTGATGGTTCAGTGCTCCTCTTTAAATTCCCAGGCAGATCTTCCCCTTCTGCCAKCTCTGTCTCAAATCCTCCTCTGATATACTTTTTTCCCCCTTGTATCAATGAGCCTGGATCCATGGGTAGGAAAGAAAACCTGTTTCTTCCCCTTTTAATAATGAGAGATTCCCATAGCACAATATAATTTTCTGGTTCTGAAAACCGGAGACCTGTAGCAATAATTGCAATAAATTAACCCTGCCATTTTCTTCATAAAACTGTCCGGSGAGGTTTCTTAATTCAGTTTGTCATGAGTCACTTTAATTACATCATGACCGCACTGATGAATGTTTGGGCAGGTAAGGGTCTCGCCGAGTTTGCCTGATAAATGCTTATTGCAAAGGGCTCATTGCTAGACTGTAAATATTTTTGCTCTGGGGATGAAACCGAGGTTTTTGAGATTGCTTTCATTTTGTTTCCAGGCAATTGGATTTGGCTGAATTTTTTTTTTTACTTCTTTAAGTGAAAGAAGGTTTATTTTAATTACTGTGTGCATTTCTRTGATGCTCTGAGGTTTCTGTTCCACTCCACGTGGTGAGTATATAACAGAAAGCCCCTTCTCCAGGAAGCAGGATTGRGGCAATGATAAGAGCAAGGTGCAAAGAGGCAACCATGGTCTGGGGAACAGTGCTCAGTTTTTCCAGGGAACTACTTGTGTAATTGACCCTCCTGGAGGACCTCTGTTTGTATTGCTGCTCTCCATTCTCATTATTACAGCTTTCTTTGGCTATGTGGTGGTTTGTTTTTCCTTTCATTTTATATATATTTATATATTTTTTTTCTTCCCCTATTGAGCAGATGATGGCTCAAGCATTGAGGACACAGACTTCAACTGGGACGAATTCCTGGAGGAAACTGGGGCCAATGCTGCTCCCCACACCTCATTCAAACACGTACGTGCTTGGTTGATGCCTTGTGAGCTCCATTTGTGGTGTTCCTCATCACCTCCTCATGACTTTGCATCATTGGTATATGGCCCAACAATRGTCCTACCTGTGCAGGTTGCCAGGGACATGGTTGGATTAAGGATCACAACCATCAGCTGGCTACCCTAAATCTGTTCTTTACAGGCAGTGTCATCTTTCTGGTCTAGGGAGGGCTCTCCCTGCAAAGGAAAAAAAGTAACACCATGCCTTTCAAATTTTTGTAAGGTTGAAATCAGCCTTCAAAGCAGTTTCCAGCCAGGAATGAAATTGGAAGTGGCCAACAAGAGCAATCCAGACACATATTGGGTAGCTACGATCATTACTACATGTGGACAGCTCTTACTGCTTCGTTACTGTGGCTATGGAGAGGACCGCAGGGCAGATTTCTGGTGCGACGTGATGACAGCAGATCTTCACCCTGTTGGCTGGTGTACGCAGAATAACAAGGTCCTGATGCCTCCAGATGGTGAGTTCTGCACGTTTTGCCGGGTCATGCTCTAGTATTGGTCTGATGATGAAACTCCAGACTTCCAGTCAATCTGGAATGGGTCAGTCTCAAGGGCCTCAACTGGTGTTGGGTGATGCGACTGCAGAAGTTGTTGTACAACAGCTCAGGGTCAGGTGTCAGCAGATCAGGGTATGATTGAGTCCATCTAGAAAAGGAATTTTTCCCTAACTGCTAAGAACAAAATAAGTTTCTGTAGGAAGCTGCCTTAATAAGGAAGTGTTGAATTGCAAAAAATACTATTTTTTGTTCTGTTGGGGTAAAGGGGGAGAGTTGTTCTGTAGTTCTAGAACAGAATGACCAATTTTTTTTTTGTATATTCTCTGTTCAGTTTAGGTGTAAATAAAATCAGAATTTGCTTGTGCATTCTTCAAAACTCTCCAAAAGTTTTATTCTGCAAGTTGTATTCTCCATTGCCAGATTCCATGAGCTTTCAATTCCAGTGATAGATACACAGATTAAAGCCATTGAGATCTGGGCAATATTACTTAAGGCATCTCGTGATTGTCAGCTCTTAGATGCACAGCAGCTGAAGGCAAAACCTGTGTATGTGATCCATATTGGACAGTTTCTTTAAAAAATACGACTTGCTCTCTAGCATATAAGAAGAAAATTATCTAAAAACTACTACTGCTTCTGAGCATCCAGTTTGTTCAAGGTTGGGGAAGCAAAGTATTTAGCTTCTAAGTTGTGCATGTGTTTAAGAAAAGCCTCATTTAAGGATTCTGCTGCTGATGATTCTTTGTTGCACATGACCATTGAGAAGGTGTCGTGTGGTTTCTCCTGGTTTCACCTCAATTTCTGATGAAATGAGCTGTTGGGGACTGTCTTGGCTCAAATCAGGACTGAAAGACTCATTCTTGTCTTGCATATGTCTCACCCTGAGATGGGCTGTTATCTCTGGGCTTCTTTTGGTCTGACTGTGTCCTCTGAATCAACAGAGGATTGACTGCCTAAAAAGGAGGGAGAGAAAAAAGAAARTCTTTTAGATACAGCTGAGAAATCTGTGGGACTAACATTGGTAAATTAAGCTAACATGAGAAGGATTCATTTTTTTTTTTATTTTTTTATTGGTCTCCTAAACTACCTTTTATTACATGGATTGTAATCAATGTTGCCAGAAAGTGTACAGTGTGGTAAACTGAAGCTCAAAATGCCAGGGTCAAGGGGTGAGAGATTTTATTGACTGTGATAATAGAAAATAATGATTGTTTTATAACTGGAGGCAACTGCTTTTCATGGAAACGTTGGAATCTGCTCTTTGGGTTGTGGTCACTTCCATGTGTGAACTGTCTTGCTTGAGTGACTGTAATTATGCAGTATGTTGTTCTCCTTGGGCTGGCAGCTGTCTGCTGCGGTGGACCCCAGATTTGGACAGCTGTCTTGGTCATTTTTGTCGTTTGTTTGTTTTCTTCCATCTTCTCAATGAATAAGCTTTATTGCATAGATTTTTAGTATAGTTTTCAGAAAATGCAAATTAACTGAAATGTCCAAATTGCAATTTCAGAGGAGATTTCAAGATCTAAGAGTTGAAGTTGTGTGTGGAAATGAGAAGTTTAAAAATGCCCAGGGGATCTGAGCCTTTGGGACCTCTCTCTCACTTGTGAAAAGGTAGAGGTCCAAAATGTGTCCTTGAATCACAATGACTCCCATGAGTGTTTACCCATTGGGTTCAGTTCTGAGGTCCAAGGTGGATTGGAAGCAATAGGACATTGCTTCCATTCAGGCTCCTCAGTGAAGAACTTGGCTTTTCAAAGTGTTTTTTGTCTGCTCTAGGAAGAAATGGGCTCAGACTAGTTTTTAAAAGTGGCTCATAAGTACTAGACTTGCCATACTTAGATGTCTGAAGTTACTCCTGTGGTTATTTTTTTTTTTTAATCAGTGAATGTGCCTACTCTTGAGGCAAACTTCATTGCAGTCCAGAGTTTTATCTAGTGAAGACTGCAGGATCTGACCTTGCCTTGCTACAGGAGCAAGTGCTGTTTTACCCAAACACCACCAAAATGTGCTGCTTTTAGCATCATGCGCTCTTTTGTTTCCAAACCTTTGGAAGAGCTGAAAGTGAGCTCCAAGTTAATGCTATTCCCAGGGCCTGATTCTGCACAGTTTGATGGCAGCAAGACCAGACTGCTATATACGAGCAGCATGGCCAGTTTTGGTTAGTTGTCGTTAGGGTTTGTTATTAATTAGGAGTTGAAGGCTCTAGTTAATAAGCAGATCTGCACAGAGGAACTTGTGCACCTGGCAAGATTCCAGCAGCAGGACAAGGTTCTGTTTTTGCTTGCAAAGCAGATAGGAGTGATTGGCGCAAATCTTGCAAATGCAATGCCAGACAGCAATGCTGCAGAGCGACTGGGTGACGAATTTCATTAGATGGGAGAGAGATTGGAAGGAGGGGGAAAAAACAAAGTAAAAAAAAAAAAAAATTACCAAAAACCACCCTATTCAGTTTATCAAATCAATGGAGCTTGATTTAACGTTCAACACAGAGAGCTTTCAAGGGGCAGCTGCCAAATAATTATTGTTTATGATCCTAATAGACGGAAGTTGTTTAATTTACAGGCTGTTAGGCTGTTATTTATGGGGTGATGGTAGTATTGCATCATGGTGACTGTGAGTATAATGTCCAGTCAYGTTATGTCCCTGCTATGACATTCTAGTGCAACAGGACTAAGGGCCAAAATACTCCGGTTTTCAGTAAAATGCACTGGCTTATGGAAGGGCAATATGAATGTGAGTGTGTGGCTGCGTGCTTTTTCCCCCACACTTCCTTTCCCTGCATGAAATCAAAGGAGTAAAACTGTAGTTACTGCAAGCTCTGCCGTTAATTATATTTTTCTCATTACAAATCGGTGTGTAATTTGAATTGCAAACTCAACTATCCTGGCAGAATAGATCTGTTTACCATTCAAAGCAAAATGAAAATTATTTAAATTAGTTAATGTAGAACTCATTTGAATGAGATGGATGTTTATTCATGAACTGGCTCGAGGAAAGTGTGAAGCTGTCCTTATGGTCTGTAGCTYTGGCACGGAGCAGTCCTGAAGTCACGTCCTGGGACGGAGGTTTCTTCTTGCATATTAACCGTGGGTGCACACCGATGGGTAGATACTGCCTGATACAGCTGAATGTGATTTATTTTTTATTTTTATTCCATTTCTTTTGAGATCCTTCAGTGGCAGTTCCTATAAGGAAAGGCAGCTTGATGCAAAGTTCATCAGCYGCGGTGCTAATGTGGAAATTGGATTCTACTCTATGTGAGTAAGGGGTAATTTAGGTGACAGTTAGCTAAAACCTTCTCATTTTGGTCTATTTTGCAAATAAGGCCAGCCTTTTTATCCTCGTATATCTTTTTCCAGCACCAGGCTCCTCTTTAGCACAGAACTGARCAGGCTGTTGAAAAAACATCTCCCCCAGAGTCATGTTACCTATTGAGCATTGAAAATTTGTGCATTATCCTTTGTAAGCGAGAGGAGAAGTAGATATGGTTGGTCATCCCAAAACTTGGGATATGAAAATACCTTGATTTGCACGTAATCCATCATACTGGATTGTGCTACTGTGTAAAAATGTGTATAAATTTATTTGTGTAAAAATAATAAATAGGTGAACAGAGAATTTAACATTTATTTATTTATCTCATGGTAGGAGACACTATTTGGCTTTCCAAAATGAAGCAACCAGAGCTTGCCCRCCTCTGGAGCTGTTCTCTTAGAAGTTGTGATCTTCAGTGTATTTTAACCAAAACCAACCTTCCTTTGTTTCTCTACTTGTACTGTGCTTGCAGCACTATAATTAAAATATAGGTAGAGGGATCAGATAAGCAGKATGCACTCTCACAGATTCACAGAATATTTAAGGTTGGAAGGGACCTCTACAGATCATCTAGTCCAACCTTCCTGCTCAAGCAGGCACACCTAGAGGGTGTGCCTGCTTGAGCACAGGGTGGCATCCAGGCGGTTTTTGAAGACCTCCAGAGTAGGAGACTCCACAACCTCCCTGGGCAGCCTGTTCCACTGCTCTGTCACCCTCACAGTAAAGAAGTTCCTCCTCACCTGGAGACGGAACTTCTTGTGYTTCAGCTTGTGGCCATTACCCCTCATCCTATTGCTGGCCACCAGTGAAAACAGCCTGTCCCCTTCCTCCCTGCATTCTCCCTTCCTGAACTTATACATATTAATCATATCCCCTCTGAGCCGTCTCTTCTCCAGAGAAAACAGGCCCAGCTCACTCAGCCTCTCTTCGTACGAGAGATGTTCCATWCCCTTAATCATCCTGGTTGCCCTTCTCTGGACCCTCTCCAGAAGCTCCACGTCCCTCCTATACTGGGGTGCCCAGAACTGCACACAGTACTCCAGGTGCGGCCTCACCAGAGCTGAGCAGAGGGGCAGAATCMCCTCCCTTGACCTGCTGGCAACACTCCTCCTGATGCAGGCCAGGATGCCATTGGCCTTCTTGGCCACGAGGGCACACTGCTCACTCATGGTTAACTTAGTGTCAACCAGGACTCCCAGGTCCCTCTCYGTGGAGSTGCTTTSCAGCAGGTCSACCCCTAATCTGTACTGATGCCTGGGGTTATTCCTCCCCAGGTGCAGGACCCTGCACTTGTCCTTATTGAACCTCATGAGGTTCCTCTCTGCCCAGCTCTCGTCTTTGAGGAGCTGGCTTGTCTACACCAAGTTATCTGAGATGGCTTTGCTTTTCTACCAGTGTAATTAAGAGCAGATTTGGCCCTGGTTTAGCTCTTTTATTGGAGACTTACCTGAAATATTACTTCCAAAGAGCTTAGGGCCGGAGAAAATCAGTAGGCATGCACTGAGTTTATACTGGTTTACATCAGCTATGAACCGGACCCCTGAGCCAAGTAAAATGAAACTTGGAAATCTTCTTTGGCGGGTTCTACTGCCAAATGCTGTGGATATTGCTAAAGTATTTTATGTGTTTTTTTGTCATCTTTGCCT